GATCCTCGAGTTATGAACTGACCCCAAAAAAACTTTGGGGGGCCCGTACGCGGGTACCACGCGGGGGAAGGCGCCAATTTTGGGGATTGGGGCCCGTACTTGCATGTAGATTAAGTCCTCAAAATTTGAGCCCCGTAGCTTTTGTAGGTCTTGAGATGAACAACCATGACAGACGCACACACGGACACACAGACAACCTCTCGTCAATATGCGTTTTTCGCATTGCATTGATGCAAAAAACGCATAATAAAAACTACCGTCCCCGAGGTTTCCTCCTTAAGACGCGTTGCGTTCTCGAATTCTTGTGTGTTTGTCAATAGAACAGTGGCAAAAAACAAAAAAATAGAAAAAAAAGGTAAAACAAAAACAGAAATTCTCAAACCTACATGAACACTAAGACACAGCTGTCCAAAAACGCCCGGCTCAGCTGCTTTTCGGGAAATCCCTTGCAAAATTAGCCACCGCTCAAAAGTGAAACGTCACTGTAACTCGATTCCTGCACTAAAAAAAGAACCGACACAATCAGCAGAATTCCATTTCCCTGTGCCTAGACATATTCTTTTTATGTATGGGCTTATTCCACACAATGGACAAACAAAGCAAACTCTTGCTGCCGCCTGCAGAAGGAGGTATCCGCAGCAAGGAATGACAACACCAAAAACAATGGCCGAAATTACGCAGAAGTCTGTCAGAGCAATATTAGCCGCTCTCAACATAGCCTATACTTTTTCTTTTCTTCGTTATTTCAAAGTTTCGCCCGTTTTACAAGTCATCAGGAAAGTCAAAATAAATCTTCTAACAAAAATGTTAACTTTTACAGCCTGCAAACCAGCACACATGGCTTGTGCTCCATAGGAAGCCCATTCTGATAGCCGCCGGCACAGCCTGTATCGCAACCCAAACTCATTTCAAGTCATCTGCAACTGAGAAATCCGACTATGCGAGCACCGCTGCTTAAGCCGATGCGGATAACGAATCTCAATTCTGCACTTTTTAAAACCAAATGCGCTTAAAAATCACTGTATGCAGTAGAACAAAGACACAGCAATTGACAAAGCTCAGTTCTTCTGCCGCTTTTTGTTGTAACAAGCATTTTTTTTCATCAAAATAAAAAACAGTCAAAAGCGTAGAACCCTGTGTTAAAAAAACCCTTCGTTTTCGAGTAGAGGCTTTTGTTACCCGAAATAAAAAATGACTTCAAAAAAGGAAATTTAGTCCCTTTTACTTTAGATGAAGCCGAAAATTTACACGAAAATTCCAATGTACTGCCTTCGGCAAAAAGAAAGTCAAGCAATTTCCTCATTTATGACGATCGGACAAAGCTTAGATAAAGCTCAAGACCAGTAAAATGTGTCTTTTGGGGATGTAAGGCCACAGCCAATCACTCCTATGCCACCTCGAAGTCTAACTACACTGACTTACAGACGGCGCAAAAAACACCAACCCAGTTTCGTGCGAATCGCTAAATTTCGAAATTTCTCAACGAAACAAAACCAGAAGCTCTTTCATTCGACTTTTTGATTTTAAGGATCGAGAACAAAGTGAAAAGTAACGAGGGATAGATGTGAACCTGTAATCGATGCCGTACAACATCCAGAGGATAAATCGCTGTTTTGGACGAGACG